GCATCACCTGCCACCAGGTGGTGCTAAAGGAGCCAAAGTCAGCTTTGAGCATCCACTCACCTGGGTGGGGTCTGGGGAAGGATGGGGGCTCCAACTACACTGCAGAGTCTCAAGAAACTAGGGCACATCTTCTCCAATGTCTCCTGCTGACAGAGGCAGGAACTGGGGCCCAGAGAGGAGGGTTGAGTTCAAGGTTACTTTAAGGAGCAATGAGAGTGAGTGCAGAGCCTAGCATGGAGCCAGACCAAGCAACGTGTGCCCGTGGCCATGGGATATTGAAGGAGGCAGAAGATATGAGGGGTTCAGAATGAGGCAGGCTTGGAGAAGGGAAGTTTCGTGTGAGATGGCCAGGCTAGATTTGCCCAGACTAAATAGGGAGATTGGTTGCCCTTTGCCCATGCAAAGGAGGAACAAAGGCTTCAGTTCACAGGGATCTTTGCCACATGGCCAACCTCCCTTCTCAAGGCCTTACCGGTCTCCTTTGCCCAAGAAAGCAGCTCTCCCATGTTACAGACAATCAGGACACAGGACATGAAGAGAGAGAACTGGACAGGCACCGCAGAGGCTCCTCCGCACCAGCCTAGGAAGGTGACCTTGGCCTGGAGAGCGACCTCCTGGGCTGAGCTGCATTCAGTCAGCTGTGCCTCAGGTGAAGTCCCCGCATCCTTTCTCTTCATGTGCACATGGGCCCGTCTCAGGGGGAGTCACCCTGCCACCCCTAAGAGCAGTTTAAACAGGACAAGGACAGCTAGTGACTTAAAGGGACCTTGGGGTCAAGGACGGAGGCTTGTAGGACTCATAGACTCAGGAAAGGAAAAGAAAAGCTTGGGCTTGGGGGTGGGGTAGGGACTAGGCGGTGGGAGGAGGCAAGGGAAAGGCTTTCAAAGAGAGGATGAGAGAAATGAGTTATTCCAGCATGGGGAGCTTAGAAAAGTCCACTGAATCTTTTAACAACCCTGTCAATTATTCATTTTCTAGTATGCGGGGCCCCTGGTTGGACTCAGAGCCGCTGTGAGCAGGGCAGAGGGAGGGAGGGAAGTGGAAAGAAAGAGAGGGGGAGGGAAAGAGAGGGCTGAAATCAGAAAGAAATGATAATATACAAAGACAATGGCATGCGTGTGCATATGGGCATGGATGTGTGTGTGTGTGTGTGTGTGTGTGTGTGTACATGTGGTAGGGAGGGGGAGAAAGAGAGTGAGTAAGTGAACAATGGTGGGGTGGAGGTCAACAGAACAAACCCTGCTCGAGCCTCTGGGTGGAAAAGACACGGAACATCTTGTCTAAAACTTGGTCCTCTTCCTTCAGGAAGCCTTCCTAGATCCTCTCTCCTTCTCCCCTGACCCCGCCTTTAGGAAAGTCTCTTGTCTGGATCATGTCCTCCTGCTTGTCCGTCCTCACATGTTCATTCTTGTCTTTTCTGTGTGGTTGACAGTCTGTGGCTATTTTTATCTGAAGGGGATCTCCAGTTCTCAGGCCTCCGTCCCCTCTCTTACTCCCATGGCCTCACTAGGTATAGGACTGGGCACTCACTAGTCATGGATCATCCTATGCTTCTGATGAGTTGGAGATATCTCATGGGTCTCCGTGAGTGGAATCGGCCGCTCTGAAGACTGAACAGAACTCTTCGGTTTACCTCCTGTGGGGTGGCATCAGGAGACACCAGCTAGCTTGGGTGAGGTGGCTCAGATGTTAGGGATAAGGACAAGATGCTGGCAAAGTGTGTCTTGGGAGAACTGTCCCTTTCAGAATGGCTTGGGAACTGAACATTTCCAGAGAAATGTATGTTCCAGGATGCTCATAACAGATGCAATTGCTTCCCTTAGCTCTGCCGTGGGTTCTACCCTTGATCTCCGTGGTCCCACCCAGCACTGAGCTTTTTACTACCCTGAAAAAAAATGGTCCCTGGAATGACTGCATTAGAGCTAGGTGTCTGGGGATGGGAAGAAATGGCTGGGCTTGGTAGGAGTCCTGGCTGGGCTCTGTGTGCTCTGAGGGGCAGGGAGCATTGCACAAAAGGCCACAGACCAGATCCCTTCTACCTGCTCCCCTGTCCCCAAGGAACCCCTTTCCAGAGAATATTCAGTTCTCAGTGCTCACCAGCAGACTCAGGAGGGAGCCAGAGATAAGATGGATTTGAGGCTCTGGGGACTGCACGGCGACACTAGACAGAGAATGAGGCGCCATGGAAGTCAGGTGATGCAGAGAGGCTTGGCCAAGGCCACAGAAGAGAGCAGAGGGGGCCACTCACTCATCCTTGGGTCACCTCGCAACAACTGCTGTGTCACAAGGCTCCCTGCCTCACCTATAGGCTCTGCTGATGACACTGTCTGATACAAGTCCCGAGTCACATACCTCATGACTGTCACGGCTGCTCAGGTTCCTCGGGGCTCCTCAGGTATCTGCTGCTATAGAACTGAGCCTTGAAGTGCAGGTGCTATGCCTTTGCTCTGTCCTACAATCATGCCTCCCTGCCCTGGAGTGCTGGATGACATCATCTTACATCAGGGGCTATTGCTATGCAGCAACAGTCCTGGGCCCCATGGCTGTCTTCTGTGGCTTGTCACTCTGCCTCTTGGTTACATGAGTTCATCCATTGCTATGTAATTTTCTTTGGTTGCCATGGAACAGTGACCCATGGCTGCACAGCTGCTTGTGATTGGCATGGAACTGTAGCCCGTTGCTACCCAACCACATTCTGTTACTCGCGACTGGGTTCTCTTGGCCATGGGAAGGTGTATGGCTGGGCCCTGCCCTCATCTTTCTGAGCTCTGGCCTGTAGGTTTGTAGGAGAGCAGCTGGAATAGTGATGACAAGGGGGCTGGGGAGAGAACAGGGGCAGGGAGAGAGCAGGGGCGGGAGAGAGTCCCTGTGCTGTGTGGGAGGGCTAAATCAGGCACAGGAAGACAAAAGCTGAAACCAAGAGTCCTGAAGGAGGGTTCAAGGTTAATATGGCTCTGGAGTAGACTGGAATGGGCAGGAAAGAGGGTCAGGGCCATGGCCTTTTACAGGAAGGTGGGTTAGCTAACCACAAGCTCCTGCAGCCACCCAGAATTCTCTGGATGCTATATAGCATGGGTTGATAAGGTTAGGGAACCTCGGGCAGGTATCGTATTACTTCTGGACCAGGTTATAGCCATCATCGGTAAAATGAAAACACGTCGCCAATGGTGGTCATTCTTGGTCAGAAATAATTTGTTCTAATGGCTGACCTTAACTTCTCAGGCTGCAGTCTAATTCTTCTCCTTTGGCTGAATCCTTAAGAAAAAGTCAAGAGGACCTGGCCTGTCCATCCATGTCATGCCATCCTTCCTGACATTTAAAGTCAGGTCCTCAAATGTCCACCCATCAGAACCATCCTACCCTGAAAGGCTCTTCCAAAGTGATTTCCTCCTCCTTCTCTCCCACCCATTATCTCCCTCCACCAATTTCGTAGGTGCAATGAGCCTCGCTTTTCACCCCTTTTTATGTCTCCCATCACATACAAAGGCACAGCATTAAGTTACGTGTGTTTCCCATTGCGCATGACCCAGGTTCTCAGACTTGCTGCCCGCCGCGCAGGCCTTACCAGAGAGTCCCTGCCATTCCCAGCTGTGGGATGGAGCTTGGTGCTGCTCACTGTTTGCTCACACTACGTCCCGGATGTTCAGGTAGGGTCTACTCTCAGAAGTGGTGTGGCTCTGGGTAGGGCTGAGGCTTGGTTGGCTCACGGCAAGGCAGTGGGGTGAGGGCAGAATCTCACTGAGGTTCTCCGGTGGTAACCAGTGAGGACCACCTTCTCCCTCCTTCCATCTGCCTTTTCCTGGAGTGGCCCTTTCACTTTTTCTCACTGTCCTGGCTTTTGAAAATCAACCTTCTTTCTCTTCTATACCACTCTGGATGAGGTTCTGCAGGTTGACAAGAACTGACTTACCCACGCTGTCCCGAATCTCCCAGGCTAAGACCTGTACCTTCATTTTCAATGCAACTGATGACTGGACTGGAGGTGGCTCCTGAGCCCTGCTTCTCCACAGGGCAAAGGTGGTGTGTGTGTACTAGGAATGTCTCTGAGAGCTGTTGCTTGGACAGGAAGGCTCTGCTCTTGGCGAGGGTGCTCTCTGTGGGGACCTCCTCTTGGGTACACTCAACAGGCAGCTGCCTTTCCTACTGTCTGATGGGACATGTTTCAGAAAGGTGCCAAGTGCCAAGGGTAGATGAAGAGACTGTCAGTAAAGAGGGGCAAGTCCTCAGGAGGAGACCTGAGGATTAAATTTGTGGCTTTGCCTAAGTCCTTGCCTTGGGTACTTTGGAGTAGCATTTGCTCGTGGGATCCACTGTGGATGTCCATAGAAAGCCACGCATGGCATCTCTCATGGGCATTGACTGGGGCAGTGGACTTCAGCGGGATTATCTTTTGAGTGTGTACTCTCTCTCTTTCTTTCTCTCTCTCTCTTCTAGTTTTTCGAGACAGTGTTTCTCTGTAGCTTTGGAACCTGCCCTGGAACTAGCTCTTATAGACTAGACTGGCCTCAAACTCACAGAGATTCACCTGCCCCTGCCTCCCGAGTGCTGGAATTAAAGGCGTGCACCACCACCACGCAGCTTGAGTGTGTACTCTTTTGCTGTCTGTACCAAGAGGTTAAGGCTCAAAAGTGACCCATCCTGAGGCCAGGTCCCAAGATCAAGACACAGACCGCCCCTGAACATAGTATACTGCCTCCTTTATAAGGTACAGTTTGTCTCTTGGGGGCGTCCCACGGCCTGAGGGACATACTCTGAGTTGAACATGACTGAGCAGGCATTATAAGGATTTCTCATAAATCCCATAAGAGCCCACCTAAAAGATGAAGAAGCCGCAGAGGGGAGTCTCATCTTCCTCCCACTGGCTCATCTTTGAGGGGGGGTTGTGCAAAGGGGTGAACCACTTGCCGCCTGAGGAGTGACCTCAGGGGTGGCTCTTGAGCCTCCTTTCCCATTGTACCATCATGGCACAAGTCCTCCATGTCCTATGGAGAGGCACTCACCATCTCATGTAATGTCTGAGGCTCCTCTGCTTCCTGAGAAGAGTCTGGGGAGCTCATGGACCAGGACTCACGAATGGCACCAAGATTCTCATCTAGAATCTTCAGGTTCAGGGTGGGCAGACCCTTGCTGTTGCTTAGTGTCAAGAAGTTTTCTGGCCTCTAAAAAAAGATGGAGAGAGACTTTGAGCCGGCCCTTCCATGGTGCCTGCTACACCCCAAGCTTCCTGGCTTAGTCAGCAGGCCCTGCACACCCATCCTCTGGATACTCCCTGCCCCCTGCCCCTTGTTTCCTGGGTCCCAGCCGCAGTGTCCTGCAGTTCCTCCACAAGCCAAGTGATTCCCTGCCTCAGGACCTTTGATTTGATTTTTTTCTCTACCCGGGGATGCTTATACAACTGCCCCCTTACCATCATCTGAGTCCTGCCCTTGTATAATCTTTTTGGAGAAGCTCTGCCCCTTGACACAGAGACCACACCCCAACTCCAAAGTAACCCCATCACTCATAGCATACCATTTCACAGTGTTCCCAGTGATTACACTAGGAAAACACCTTCCAAACGATGGGTTTCATTATGGATTCTCTCTGCCTTCTCCCAGTATTTACACCAAGACTGCAGTTCATGTAAGCAAGGGCACTAGTCTCCCCAGTGTCTTGTTTACTGCAGGGGCTCCATGAGTACGCCACCGATGGCTTCCGTGCCAATCTGGTGATAAGTTCTAAAATGACCCGCTCTTTTCACCCCGTTTCCAGCTCACCTCTATCATCACTCAGCTCCACCACCCCTTAGAGTGTCTCTCTGAGCACCTTGGTGAACCCTTCTTCATGACTGCCTCTCATCTCCCTCCTCCTCCCTCAGGAAGAAGCCCTCCGTCTCTGTCCTTTCTTGATCAAAAGTTTTCTGAGTTCTTCCAGCCCAGCATTGGCTACCTGTACTTTCACATGGCTCTGTGGCTCTAGGCTAGTTTGTTTTTCCTAACAAAACTTTATGTTCCTTGGACTTAGGGGCATGTGTCAGCGGGTCTTTTTGTGGGGGTCATCATTTTAAAACTTGTTTGGGGGCTGGTGAAATGGCTACACGGGTAATGCTGCCAAGTCTGACGATGTGAGTTTGATCCCTGGGACCCAGGCAGTGGAAGGAGAGAGCCATCTCCTGCGTGTTGTCCCTTGACCTCCACACAGGCACGGTGATCCACGTTGGCATGTACATGAACAGACACAGAACAGAATTGAAAACTTATTTGAAACCCACTGTTAGTTCTCCCAGCTGCTTTTTGTTTATTTAAAGCATCACACAGTCTCAGGGTTTGCAGAGGCCTCAAATGTGATGCAATCTCACCCCGCGTTAACTGGTGGAATCCTCACTCAGTCTCAGTATAAACGTATTTATTCACCGGGTGGTGTTTTGCTAGATGCAAATGGAGCCCTGGGCACAAACAGGAGGAACGTTCATGGGACTCCAGGTGCCTCTGTGTCTGGAGTGAGGAGGGCATGGGTGTACCTCACTAAGTGGACGCTGCCTGAAAACTGACACACCTGGACCACATAAATTGAGATGAAGATGCTGTACTCGAACACTGAGGTGTTTACAATGATTTCTTTATGTGCCATATAATTTGGGGTTCAGAAATGCATTATAACACAGGGCTTTTACAGGCTTAGGTCAGCAGGGTTAGGGGTTGCTCACACATACATGGAATCATCTGGGACATTCTAGACTCCAATTCCTTCTCGTTTGAATGGGTATAAAATAGACAATTCCTAAGAGAAAATCTGTAAATGTTCTTGGTATGAAGAGGGATGCATTCGGTGACCTAAGGCTGACTTCAGCCGGCCATTTATATCTGTGAACACCAGCCCAGCTTCCTGCCTCATCTTCTCCTGTGAAGAGGGGCAGGATTCACTTAATTGTTTCCCAAATGACATGGAGTCTTCTATGCTCTGGAAGTGCCCAGTGCAGCATCCGACTCACACAGTTTTGGGTTTTCTAAGTGAGACTTTGGATAAGGAAAAGTACATCTGTCTCCTATTCAGAAATTTTGAACACTTGGGGACGGGAAGCACTGCCTGCTCTTTCAGAGAATCTAGGTTCTATTCCCAATTTGCAGGACCCATGACCAAGCTTCTGTGGATGCTAGGCATGCATGTGGTATATAGGAATGTTGCAGGCAAAGTACTCATACACATAAATATATTTTTAAAATGATGAACATCACACTGACTACAGAGGGAGAGCTATGTATTGCTTACTGGGTAAAATGATGAGTGGGTGGTAGAAAAATAGGAACAACTAGCCTAGTCAGGGCAAAAACCACCTCCCTAGTGACCAGGTGGGTCCAAGCTTGGGTGAAATGCTGATTCAGGACCTGTAATGACATTTCTCCTCATTTCCAGGCAGAAAGCCAATCTCAATGCCCTGGATTTCATAGACTGCCATCTAATCCAGTTAGAGGAGGAAGTAGGAGTAATGAAATCAAAAGAGGTCTCCAGAGGTGGCCCAGTCATTACAGAAAGCCGGGACAATTGCCGAGGGAGTCCCCTCCCCCACTGCCTGTCTCCCTGCTGTCCATCCTGTATGGTCCCAGGACCAGCTAGGCCAACTCAGTGATGTGGAACTGATGTTTTTGGGTCAGTTACACACTCACTAGATATTTTTAGGTAGATTCTGATACTATGTATAAATTCTTTTAATATCATAAATTCCTTTAATTTCATTAGAAAGATAGATAAAAAAATGAGACTTTCTGTCCAGAACAGTGAATTCACTCCACCAGTCTCTGCTAGGCAGGGGAGTATCCTGAGGGGGAGGGAAGGAAAGCAGGCAGAGTAGGAGGGGGCGGGAGAGAGCAAAGCCTTGCGGATGAATTGCCAATTCAGGCCTTGCTTGGCTCTGCTAACCCCATTCTCTCCTGTATGCTCACCCCACAAGCTTGTTTATTTGCTTTTCTATTTGGCAGGTCTGCTGGAGCAGCATGGGGCTGACAAGTGGCCCCTCAGTCTGTAGCTCCGTGGTGGTAGCAGATCCTGCTTCATTAGGACTGTAATTGGAGACTGACTTTGAAAGCTCAAAGAGATGCGTGGCCATGCACCAGCTCAGACTCAGCGCCCAGCCCAGCTCCTGTGCTGTGCCAGCTGCCGCACACCGTGTGAGAAACATGGTGGGAGAAGATGTTCAGCAGGCACTCTAACCAGCAGAGTGGGGTCTGTCGAGACAGCCTGGGCCAATGGCATTCCAAGTTGTTAGCGTTTTAGGTCACCTCTCTCCCCGCCCTACCCTCAATACTTCTGCTGCCCTCCTCCGTACTCCGTTCCCTACATCCCTGGTCATGCAAAATGCAACAGCTCCTGCTTGCCCTGGCAATTACAAAGCAACCCGGCTGCAGCTGCTGTCCCTGGTGCTGAAAGTGCCCGCCTTCCGGCCAGCCCGCCTCTTGCCCCGCCTTGAGCTTTCTTGGTGGGGAACACAGGCTCTTAATTCAATTAGCTGGCCCTGAACCCTCCCCAGGGAGCCTGGAGCGGAAACTGACAAACTCTGTTTAACAAAGACATTTGTCCCCCGCCCCGCCAGACTGAGGGCTCTGCTCTCCTGTATTCCGCTCATTAGGTATCTAACAAAGTGCGTCCCAAGAAATCTGCTTCCAATCGCTAGTAATTCAGGAGGCCTGATACAATTTTCTCCCTGATAAGGGTGGCTCGCCCGCTGGCAAGCACCATAATGAGCCCTGTGCAGCGGCTCCGTGATCAGTCACCGCTTTGTCATTTCCTGTGGGCTGCAGTTGTAGGTTCTTATCTCTTCAGCTGTAGGCGAGGCTCAGACAGCGGCAAGCCCTTCAAGAGGGCTTGCCTCCCATGCATATGGCCAGTCTCATTTATGGCATCCTGAGGGCTGCTGCAGCTGTGACAGGTTTGAGCATCTGAGTTGCTCTCCCAGCCCAAAAGGGTCCACGTGTTAATATTCAATGGAGCCATGGTATATCTCTCAGAAAATGGTGTCTACTCCTGGCCTTCCAAAGCAGGGGTTAGGATGGGGTTGGTAAAGATTTTATTTTTTTAATTCTGTTGGGGTGTTAGGATTAAATGCAGCCCCGCCTGTGGCTTAGTGGATGGACTGTGGGCGCATTCACTCTTCATTCATGGAAAAATGATTACAGAAATCATTTCTCCCTACCTTCATCAGCCCTGTTCACATCTGGACAGAACTATACACTATTGCTGCTCAAGGATTTTCTATAGTTGCCCATTATCTTTTGGCAAAGTCCAAACCTTGTGTCCTGGCACTCACCCAGTCCTTCCACAATCTGGGTCCCAGTTACAAGTCCCAGTATCCGTATGTCCCACAAGCCTCCATGTTATTACATATGCTGGTCTCTGATACACCACTGCTTTCCCAATTCCCAAGCCACTGTCCGAAGTATAACCCATGCCTTGCCTCTGGGTGACGAAGTATAACCCATGCCTTGCCTCTGGGTGACACTTCCCCTGGCCTTGTATTCTCAGTGTAGCGCCTCATGCTGGATGCACAGGTGGTGATAATCTGTTGGAGTGCTTTCTTGCTAGGTGCAGGTCAGGGCCCAAATAAGCAGAACCCCAATGAACTTACATACACATGATCTTGGCTGGGCCAGGGATCCATCTGGCTTGGCTGGAGGACTAGGCTAGATTGAGTGGTCTGGTCTTGAGTTGGGGAGAATCCCTAGGCCAGCTCTCACTTTCTTAGAAGTTTTTCTAAAAGCACCTACTCTATTTCTTTCTCTCATGTTCTTGACCAACAAATTATGCATTGAGCTTGTAAGGAAAGCAGCAAGAGGATGTTCCAAACCTCCAGGCTCCTCAACCTGCCCAGCATGCTGACTTAGGACACTGTTTCTTGAGAGGCATCTCAGGCTCATGTTCTCAAGGCAACAATGGTCCAGAGGCTTGTGAGAAATTTGAGATGAGCTGAGTCAGGACTCCTGAATTACTGGCACCAGAAGCAGCTTGGATCTTGGTCTCAGAACCAGAAGCAAGTCTTTATGTATCCATTTCTTCCATAGCCCTGCTTTAGTCAGGGTAATTCTACACATTTAACTCTGGAGAGAGAGATAATCACTTTCTTAATTTTTGCTTCTCAGAAAATTTTCTGTGAGAGCTGAGCGATGACTCAGGAGGGAAAGGTCTTTGC